AATAGTTTTATTAGGGGCTCATACAACTCTTATCACAATCCATACATACATCAATTGTGTAAAGCACATTTGTACATTCATTGCCCTTATTCTCAAAACATTTTCTCTCCACTTTTAAAGTGATTTAAAAACTATCCATACTCATAATTTTAAAGAAACTTATGTCTGAAGAACTTTAAATTTCAAGTACCCCCGTCTGTTTCTTCTGAGTTTATCCCTCTTTTTTTAAATTAAAAACAAAAGTTTTATTGAAAGAATAGTCATTTGAAATGGGGAGAATTTATGCTTACAGCTTAAGCATTAGAAATTTTATCTTTTGTATTTAGGGGTTGTAACATCCTGAAACTTTTTAAACAAAACCTTCTCTTCAGCTAGCAGCTAGTTTTCTGTTACATTTCCAGTCATCTGATCTCCTTATCCCAACAAACTTATTTTCTACCTTAGTTACAAATTTACAAAGGGCCAACACAAACACATGGAAAAATACTAGTGAGTGAAATTTAGGGAATCGGTGTGAGCGAAGACACTATATATACCATTTTAGCTACAAAATTATTTCTGGGTTCTAACTTCATTTAAAACTATCAGTTTTGTCTCCTCCTTCTGCTGAATAAAATGCCTTCTCTGGGACCCACTGTACAAACTTTCTTAAGTTCCAAGCAATAACTTATTTAGGGTAGACATTTTAAAAAAACACTTTTATTGACATATAATTCAATGTACCATAATTCATCAGTTTTAAATATGTGTTTAATATATATAAATCACCACCACAAAAAATATTAGAGAATTTTCTTCATTCTTGTACCCATTCTTTATGCCACTTTCCTGTCATTTTTTAATATTCTTTAGCTCCCATTATTAAACTATCCTGTATTTAAATTTACCTGATACTGTCCTACAGGAATAGATTTGGACGTCTTTCAGTTCCATACAGTTTGCACAGGCCCAAGTCTTCCGTTCATTTTATTGTGACACAACGTCTACTTACAGTTAACTTGCTTTAGAGATGCAATGAGTAACTTGTGTTCACTTTGGTTCTAAGAGTATACATATCAAGTATTCACCCTTACTGTATAGGAGAATGTTAATGTGAGTTGGTTTGAAAATTTGTTTTCCATTAGTTTCTCCATAGCATTTCTGTAATTTCAGATTTTCAAAAATATTTTGCTAGCTTGTTTGTAAATTGGAGAACAGATTTTTACATGAGGTTTTATTGGGGGATAAGATAGATACAAATCACAACATTTAGTTGAAGCCACCAGTGTATTTTGAATAACACATTTTCTTAAGGATGTTTATAAATATTTGAGAGTAATTATATAGAAATGATTTGGGAATATTTAAAATTATTTGAGAGATACCATACAAATATATAATAGTGTAAAAGCATGTACAAAGTTAATTAGCTATTTCTTTATAACGTTTTAGAGCAGTGGTTCTCAACCTGTGGGTTGCAACCCCTTTGGGGGTGGAACGACCCTTTCACAGGGATCGCCCAATTCATAACAGTAGCAGAATTACAATTATGAAGTAGCAACAAAAATAACTTTATGGTTGGGGTTCACCACAACATGAACTGTATGAAAGGGTTGCGGCATTAGGAAGGTTGAGAACCACTGTTTTAGAGGATGGCTAAAAACATGCCTTCCTATTGACTTGTACATGTAATCAGTCACTAATTGTCCAGCAGTTCTAGAAAATCTTGGGGTTTAGCTCCTTCAAAAAACACACTCTATTCTAGAGATTCAATGGCAACAAAGTAGAAAATCTTGTCCCTTTTGAAATTTATGTTCTTTTATTTAATCAGACATTTATTATCACTCTACTTTGAATTTGGCTTTGTGGCTAGTAGATCCAGTCTTTTTCTTTTCCGCTGAATGGGAGTAGTATAAAATTTTTTTGTTTAGACTTGCTTTCTTTGTAGAAACAATTAGCCTGTTTCACTCTGTAAAAATAAGCACTGTCTCTAAGGCACTGCTTCATACTATTATGATTAACTTAGAAAATCTTTTGAGTGTAATGTATTATTTATTTTGATTTTATAGGGAAATGGATACAGCAAGAACACCGTTGAGTGAAGCTGAGTTTGAAGAAATCATGAATAGAAATAGAGCAATCTCAAGCAGTGCCATTTCAAGAGCTGTGTCTGATGCCAGTGCTGGTTTGTATATTTCTGCTACAATTTAAAAGCATTGAAAATTTCAGTATAAACAAAAGACATCTACCCCCGCCCCCGCCCCCATTAGGGGCCTTCAAGGTGCTCTGGTGGCACAGTGAGTTAAGTCATTTGCTGCTAGAATGATGGGGCTGTAGCACTGATAAAGACTTACAGTGTCAGAAAACTTGCATAGGGTTACTACGAGTTGGAATCAACTTGATGGCAGTGGATTGGGTTTTTAGTTTTTTAAGCCCTAAGGAAGAAGCTCCCTTTTTTAAAAATATCATTTTACTGGGGTCTCATACAATTCTTATCACAGTCCATACATACATCACTTGTATAAAGCACACTTGTACATTCATTGCCCTAATTCTCAAAACATTTACTCTCCACATAAGTCCCTGCCATCAGCTCCTCATTTTTCCCCCTCCCTTTCTGCTCCCTCCTCCCTCATGAACCCTTGATAATTTGTAAATTATT